CAACCTTGCCATGCACCAGAATGGCTGCCCTAGTCTGCTGAGCCAGGTGGTGTGTGTGTGTGTGTTTGTGTGTGTGTGTGTGTGTGTGTGTGCGTGCGCGCGCACAAGAAGGAGGATAGGCGTCTGAGCTTGGACAAGCGTGGCTGTCCCTGCAGAGCGCCATGGTGCTGGCTCCTGGCCCCAAGGGTGTCAGGAGGGCAGGCAGCTTAGCTGCACAGGTCTGAGGCACGTGGTTTGTGGGGCCTCCTCACACTGCAGCAGGCATCAGTGCTGCACCCCAGCCTCGGAGAAGCCCAATCTGCAGAGGCAGCACACTGGGGTCTGTGGTTTCTGAGCAATGAGGGTCCTGTAAGTACACCCGCTGGGCAACCCTGGGATCCAGCCTAGGGAGCCCAGGGAGCCCAGGGAGCCCCGGCCTATGGCGGAGTAGGCTCAGGAGCAGTGTGTCTCAGGCTTCCACAGGGAAAGGGACGGGGAGGTAAGGCCTGGGGGCCTTCCCAGGAGATGAACCAGAAACTGAGCAGGCCCAGGGTCAGTGCCAAGGGCAGCATGCCTGGGGCTCAACAGCACTCAGCTTTCTGATGTCCCCTGGCTCACAGTCCTAAGGGCTGCTCTGAGTGGGAGCCGGGTCCCTAGGAAGGACGGTGGTGTAAAAGTGGAGCACTGGCCCAGGGGAGGGGCAGCACCACCTCCCTTTGGAGGGAAGGTGCAGACTGCAAGGCTCTGAGTAGTCCCCGATGGAGCTCAGGCTGGACAAGGCTGCCCTCTGGGGCCTATCGAACCTGGGAGCTGCTGCCACTACCAGACCTCTCTGGACTGCCTTGGAGTGATCTTGGGGTCCTACCCCTCCTCTAATCAGAGCCGACCCTGGGGGAGGGTGTGCGGTCCTGGCCACCTCACAGGGGAAGGAGGAAAACTGGGACATCAAGCCCAAGGTCAGTGGTGTGGTCAGTTCAGGGCTTGCTGGGGCACTGGGGCCACTTCCCATCCTTCTGGGGACAGGGATGGTAGGATTCTGGCCTCAGCTTTGCAGTGGCTCCAATTTGGGGTGTGTGTGGGGTTCTACTTGCGTCTGCAGTATTTGTCCCCGGTGGAAGGCTGGGCAGGTTCCCTGCCAATTCCTTTGCAGCCAGGTGGGGGTGGGGGACGGGGCTGCGAGTGGAGGTGTCGTCATGTGAACCCTAATAGGGTCTTCTTGGGGTTATTCTGATTTTATGTAACCCGCCTAGGGCAGAGGACTGTGAACTTGAGGAGACCAAGGGTCCACTCAGGTTCCGAGCCAGCAGAACCTCATGAGAAGGCTGTGAAGTTGCAAAGCCGGGCGGGAACCGGGGAGCAGCTGGGAGCACAGAGGGGTGGGTGTCTCTCCCTCGGACCCTCGCCGCAGGCAACCTGCCCTGCAGCCTTGGGCACCGGAGCAGGCGGTGGAGGACAGGAGGCGCCAGCGCAGAGACGGTGCCAGGGTGCCAGCAGGTGGCGCTGGCTTCCGCGGACAGGAAGACAGAAGCCTGCAGCAGACCTGAGTGGGTGTCGATGCGGCTGCAGATGGTGGGGGAGGGATTTGTCATCTTCTCCTGGCTGCGGGGCCTCACGTGCCTTTCGTCCCGCATGGCCCGAACAGGTCTGGGGGCGGGATGCGGCCCGGAGCACCGGGGGCCCTGGGCGCCGATTCAGGCTCCTTCCCGGGACGAGCTTCGTCCGGGCCGCCGGCTGTCCCTGGTCTCGGCGCCGCCCGCGCCTGGCGGCCAGAGCGCAGATTTCGCGGTGACCCCGGGCCCTCCCCCTCCCCGCCGGTTTCCGTGGCAACTGTCCAGGGAGCCCCGGAGGGGCCAGCGGCGCTCGGGACCCTCGGCGCCTAGCCCCCGGGGCCGCCCTGCCGCCAGCACCGCGGACAGCGCCGGCCGCCTCCCGGACCCTCCCTTTGTCTGCAGCCCACCGCCCGCGGCCGGCGCTGCCGCTCGGGATGCGGACGCACGTGGCCCGGCCGCACCCCCGCCCGCCCGCCTCCGGAGTCCGCGGCGTGGGGCCCCTTTGTGTCCCGCGGCCGGATCCAGGCCTGGCAGCTGGGCCGCCCTCGGCGGGCACATTGTTCGGCGGATTTGCCGCGGCGCAGGGCCGCGGCCGGCTCGCTGGCCATTTCCATGAGAAAGGAGCGGCGGAGGCGCCTCTCTTGGCATTCACCGCGTGCCTTAATTGTATGGACATTAAATCAAGGTCCGCTGTGAACACGCAGAGGGGCCCTCAGGGCTACTGCGGTCCGAGCCCGACTCCAGGAGCCCCTCCCGGCCGGAGGCCCCAGGCGAGGCCCCGGGGCGTCCCCGGAGCCGGGCCCGCGGTCCTCCGAGGGCGCAGGCGCCACCGCGACCAGGCAGCGCGGGCCTCCCGGCGTCGCTGTGCGGGGGCCGAGGCAGTCTCCGTTCACAGCCCGCGCGCTCGCCCTCCCCGGCCGCCGCAGGCCAGCGAGAAGCGCTCGAGCTGGCCCCGCGCACCGAGGACGCGGTGACCGGACAGGCCCCAGCCGGCCCGAGCGCAGTTACCGTCGGCCGCCGCCGCCTCCGCTCCCAGCGCCTCCGCCCGCGCCCGCTGCCTCCTCGGCGCTTGCAGGCCCCGCGCGCCGCTGCCCCAGGCGGAGCCCGGGAGCCGCGCAGCCCGAACGCCACGCGCCGTCTGGGAGCCGAGCGCGCGCAGGGTCGGCGCTGCAGGCGCTCGGCTCCCGCTTGCCAGGCTCGGCCCGGGTGCGACCGTCCCCGCGCTCGCCGCCGCCGCCTCCGCGCGTATCCGCGCTCGGCTCCGGCACCGGGCATTATCACTGGGGCGCGCGGTGACGTCACCCGGACACCGGCTCCGCCGCCGCCTCCCGGAGGTGTCCTTGAGAACTGCGGGGCACGCGCACCGCGCACGCACGCACCGCGCGCCCGGTGCCTCCCTGCGCACACGCACCGCCTCCCGCCTGGAGCGCCCCTCCGCTCACGCTCCGCGGACGCAGCCTTCGAACGCCCTCGACTGCGCCCAGCGCCCCGCGGCCTAGCGTGTGCCCAGGAAACGCCCCCTCTCCCACCCGAGCCGCTCACACGCCCTCCCGCGCCTCGAAAAAGCTCACCTTGCAGCCCACCGGCCGCAAGTTGACACCCAGCAGCCACACCCGCAGGATTCCGCTTCGCGCGCACGCCGCGCGCCCGCAGGCAGCCTGCGCATTAGGCCGCACCGCGGGTTCGCGTCCCCGCTCTCGCCCACGTCGCTCCGCAGCTGCAGCTCCAGCGCCCCTCTCTCCGGATAAGGGTCGGGTCCCGAGGGCCGCCCGGCCGCTCTCTGGATCAAAGACTGCTCCCACTGTTTGATCGGGCGGGACCGGGAAGTTGGGCCGACAGCAAGGGCTGCTGCAACCAGGCCCACAGCAGGACGTCTTTGGGGTGGGGGCACCCTGATCTGGCCCCCGAGGGCCGAGGATCAGCAACTTCCCCAAACCAGCCACCCTGGGCTCCCCGCGCACGCCTTTGTTCGCAGAGCAGATGAAGGAGCCTCGGTCCGTCCCCCTCTCCTGGCTCGGGGGCCAAACCTGCCCCTCGCCCTCTGCCCTCGGAGCGGGGCCTGGCTCACTCTCTCGTCTTGAGCGCGGGGCCTGCTTTTCGTCCCCTCTCCACCCCTGCTGGGGCCGTGGACAGCTCTGGAAAGGAGGTCGGCATTCAGGAAGGTTCTGTCCCCATCTCCGCCGGTCCCCAAATCGTTCCGACTCCCTTCCCTCCCAGCCATCAGCCCTAGCTGTCTGCAGGTGTCGGCGGGGGGGGGGGGCCCTTCTCGAGCGCGGGGTGCTCAGGGCCCCATTTCTCCTGGGCAGCAGAAGCGGCACCCTCGCCTGTTCCCAGTCCCGAAGCTGGGGAAGCCGCCTCCCTCAGCCTTCGGGCGCCGGCGGTCACGGCGCGGGCCGGATGCTGGGGGCGGAGGGCGGGTCGCCGGCTGCCACCTCGGCTTCGTGGACCATGGTTCCACTCCGCCTCCTCTCGCCTCGGCGGCCGCCGACCCTCGCTCGGGCGGGCTGCGGCGTCTCCATGCGGTTCGGCTCGGCAGCCCGGAGTCCGCTGTCCATGGTGTTGAAACCGAAGCCTGAACCCCTGAGTCCTGCGGGACTTTTCGCCCCGTTCTCTTCCCTCTAGGGATCGGGGACCAGGCGCAGCTGTGAGGGTGGATTTCCAGGCCTCTCGCGCGCACACGCCACCCCGAGCTTCCCCTCCACCGGGGGCTCCTCCGCACCCTCACTTGGGCCTGGAGTTTGCAAACTCCAAATCTTCGGCTGGTCCCGCGCCCCCTCCCCGGCCGAGAACCGCCCCCTGGAGCCCGCCGACGGCCGGGTGGGGAGGGGCCGGGACCGCGTCCTTCCCGAGGGTCAGACCAGCTTTGCGCGCGTCTCCACGCTGGCTCGCCGGCTTCCTCTCGTTTCTGCCACCTCCCGAGTCCGCGGCGCCGTCAGGGGTCCCCAGCGCGCCCTCCCGTCCCAGGCCGGGCGTGGGGGTGGAGCCGGGCCGTGGGCGCACGAAGGGGGGAGCCCGCCCTCTGCCCTCCGGTGGGGCTGCCTGGCGCCCGGCCTCCGAGCGTTTCCCGAAAGTCACTTACTGCTGCCGGGCCTCGGCTCCGCGGGGCCCAGCCTGCCGCTCCACGCGCCTTCCCTCGGCCACCGCCGCGCCGCCGCCTCCCGAGCAGAGCACGCCGCGGATTCGTGTTTGTGGATTTGTTTGCCAGCTCCTGGGCACGTGGGGGAGGGGAGGGCCCGGTAGGGCGGCTGGGCTCGGGTTCCTGGCGGCCGCCTTCGCGTGCACAAAGGCCCTGCGCGCCTCGCCTGCAACTCGGAGGCCGTCAGGTGGCCCGGGAGGGTGGGGAGGGAGGGGCGAGCGCCTGCGAAGAGCGGGATTAACGGACTGCAGAGGCCGGGAAGAGCCCCTCTCCGCCCCTTCGCCCCCACCCACCCCTCCCGCGGGAGGCTGTCCCTCGTCCGGAGGGGGCACGGCCCGCATCTGGGAACAGCTGGCTCTCAGCCTCTCGACCCTTGACCCCATTCTCCTGGGAAAGGGAGGCGGGATGGAAGAGGAGGGACTTGAGCGTTCAGGGGTGGGCAGGAGGCTGCAGGCCGGACGCAGGGGCCCACAGCAGGATGTGGCCAGTGGACAGGCGGAGGGGTCCAGGCCCAGTCGCCTCTCAGTTCCAGCCTGGGCGGTGAGGGGAGCCTGGAGGCCCCACCGAGGGAAGGCAGAGAGCTCAGCCCCTCCTCCCTCCCAGCTGCAAACCCCACTCCCCCGGGCAGCCCAGGGCAGCGGCCTGACCCTCACATCTCAGCCCCCGGCCTCCTCCTCGCTCAGGTGCTCCTGAAGCGGAGGCTTTGCTGGCCGACTCTTCACCACCGTCGGCGGGTGGGAAGCCCCCAGCCCCGAGCTCAGAGGTGGGGTCTCCACCTGGAGGTGCTACCCTGCCGGTCCCTCAGGCTGGGTCTGCCTAGGTCCGATTCGTGGGGAGCCTGGCGGGAGGGGCACACCCCTTTGCTCCTCCTAGGCCCTTGTGGTGGTGGGGGCGGGACCCCTGCCTAGCCCAAGTGCTGAGGGCGGGAGTGGCCACCACAAAGACAGCAATTGTGAGCAGGCCGGTGCACAAAGAGGCGGGCAGCCCGGGGCCTGAGGCCCTCCGAATGGAAATGAGGCCACAGCCCCTTTCCTCCTCCCCTGCCTGCGTCCTCCTCCTGGGGCCTGGCCTCAGATGACAGTCCCAGGGGCAGACCTTGTCTTGGTCTGGGGTCCCTCAGATGCCACCAGGTTGGCTGGAGCTTCCAGGCCGAAGACACGCGACACTCATCCAAGGACAGCCAGGTGAGCCACAGGTCAGGGCCGGGGTGGCAGGATCGGCACACCCTGGCCTGAGCTCCCCTCCCAGGGGCTGCTTAGGGTGGGGCAAGAGTGCTGGGTGCCTGGCCCATGGTGGGAACCGATCTTTTCTTCTCCAGGAACCAATTTTTCAGCCAGAGGAGTTTCCCACCAGCCCTGGCTACCCCTAAGTTTCCAGGTGACTCTGGCCACCCACCGTGCCTGGTGTGCAGAACCTGGGCCAGCCCCACCCCCTCCCCCAGTCAGGTCAGGCTTTGGGGGGAAGCCTCTTACTGCTCCCTGCCTGGGATCTCAGAGGTTGCACTTTAGAGAGAACAGGGGCTGGGTTCCCCTAGGGATCTGGGGCTCTGCTGTGGGGAAGCCAGTCCTCAGGAGTCACGCTGGAGTCTGGGAGCTCCCTGGGACCCCTCCAGGACCCACAGAGCCCCTCTTGGAAGGCTCTGCTGCCCCCTGGCCCCACCCCATCTAGAGGTGCTCTCCTTTGTGAATCTGGGCCCTAGGGCAGCCAGACTAGGTGCTTGCTGAGCAGAGGCCAGGATCCTGCACCCCTGGGAGCTGTGCCAAGGGACCCCTGCCCTAGCTGAGTACTCATCTCTGCAAGCACAGGAGCCCAGGTTGAGTGAGGCCAGCCCGGCCCTTGTCTCCAAGACTGCAGGTGGGTGGGCATGCTCTTTGTTGTCCCTTTTGACCCCCCAAGCTGCAGCCCGACCTACCTCTGAGTGGGAGCCCCGCCCACTTCCTGGGGCCTTAGGCAGCCCCCTCCCCACAGAGCCCCTCCCTCTCTGTGCCCCCACCTTCCTGGCTTCCTTCTCCCTTGGTTCTCCAAGGCCCCAGAGCTCAGGACCCACCAGAGGGAGCCCCACCCCATGGCATGTGGAGCTGGGCTGGCCCGGACTGGGGGTGGTGGGCAGCAGCCAGACCACCCTTGGCCAGCTCTAGAGGCAGGGTGCTGCTGGTGCTGGTCCCTCCTCCAGGGCCATCTGCTGGCCCTTCCGTGGGGTCCCAGTTATCCCCAAGCACCTGCTCAGGCTCAGCCAGCTGGTGTTTGCTGCTGCCTTGTCTGGGAAAGGGGGCTCTTAGGGACAGAAACACTTTCCTCTTTGAGGATGCCCCCTGTCTCCCATAAATCTGATGCTACTGGGGTGGCCATGCTGGGGAAAAAGTGGAACCTCAGCCACAGAGCCTGCCCCAGGACACCCCACTCCATGTCCAGCTGGGACTCGGCCTCTGCAGCAGAGGACAGGGAGAGGGTGAGCTCTGAGCCGCAGGACTGGCTTGGAATGAGCAGGAGAGTTGCACAGGGAGGCAGAGCCCTGGGATTGCTGGACAGGGATGCAGAGGTGTGGGGCCACTGCTGTGGTCCCTGGGTGCAGGAAGGAGCCTGTACCCCTGTATCTAGCACTCAACCCTGTCTCTGGGGGACTAAGGGACCAGGCCGAGTCTGCATCAGGGCCCCACCTGTGCGTTGTGTATGAGGAAAGGACCTGTCAGTGCTGCTTCATCTTTGATCCATCTGATGCTCAGGAATGTCCTTGTTGTGGGAATGAGGGCAGATGCTGGGCTCAGAGCTGTCAGCAGGTGAGAGATGCAGGTAGAGCCACATGGGCCCGTTTGGTTGTAAGCATGTCCATCTCAGAGTGTTGTTTATTTAGGGCAAGGATAGTGACTTTCCACTAATAGTGGAACCCTGTCTAACACAGAAACTTAACTAAAGAGTGGAGAGAGGGGAGAGCAGAGCTGGGGGAGTGTGGTGGGTAGGTCTATCGCTCGGGGACCTGGGATCATGGGAACGAGGGGCTCTGAGCCAGGGCAGCCACAGGGAGCTCCATGTGCCTGGAGGATCTCATAGTTTCTGCACAGAAGGTTCCTGTTAATCCCTGGAGTTCACATTCTCACTTATGCTCTTTCTATCTTTGTATTTATTTATTTACTTTGCTCTTTCTAATCTGTTCTGCCACCTGGAGCTTGCCTGGTGGGGTCTGAGGAGATGGCCTTGGTGTGCTAGCAGTGGGGTAGGCACAGGCTAACTCTTCACAGCCTAGGAGACCAAAGCCCGCAGAGGGAAATGCAGCCAAGCAGACCTGCTAGACAGGGGCAGAGGCCAAGAACAGACATATCTACTTAGGTGAGCACTGTGGTCACTGAACCTCAGTCATCACCGGGACATTTTGGGAAGCTCTATCTTCCGCCATCATCCCAAGACTGTGGCATCTCAGGCATACACTTGTACTGAGGTGTAAACGACTGCCAAGGCTTGTTGTGTTCTGCCCAGCATGGCTGTCACCTCCTCTCCACCCTGTGGTGGGTTTGGAGCCACAGTGGGCTGTGGCTGTGGTGGGCAGCAGCAGCTCAGGGAGAGGAAAGAGTGCGAATTTACCTTCTGGGTGGGGAGCAGGGGCAGCTGCTCACCTGCTCCCCAGTGTGGAGGGGCCAGTAGCCTCAGTGTCTCCAGCCTCAGGATGGGTTCCCCTGCACCTTCGCACCCCTTTGTAAAGGTCCTCCTTAAACTTGTTATGGAGCTGCAAGGTGCCATATCTTTCTTTCCAACTGGCCTCACCTGGAGGGAATGTGCCAATGGAAGGTCTCCTACCCCCAGATCAAGGCGGGAGACCCTGGGGCCAAGAGGCCTCCCGGGCTCCCTTCCAGTGACCGGCCCCTCTTGGGGTTGGATAGAGGGAAGGGAGGCACAGTCCTGATGTGAGACCTGGGAGCACCCACCAAGGGGTCTGGGTGACTTGGCACCCAAGGCTGCTCCTGCAGGGGTCTTGATGAGTGACCTTGAGAAGTGATGGCCTGAGCAGGACAGAGATGACAACAAGACAGCTACATAGTCACTAAATTCATGGGCAGGCACCCAGAGCCAGGCCCTGACCCCAGAGCTGTGCAGGACCCAGCATGATGTGGAAAGGTCAGGAAGATGGATGGAGCACTAAAGTCTGAGGGACAGACTCTAGGGAGGTGGGAGAGGAGCCAAGAAGAAGAGCTGCTAGAGAGTGGACGTGGGTCCCCCAGATCCCCAATGCCCAGGAGAGCCCCCCAGAGAGAAGGGGGTGGCGTTGAATTGAGATCCTCTCCCCCTCCCCGTGTCTACCTTGGCTCTGAGACTTGAATGAAGCTGCTTACCCATTCTGTGTCTGGAACCTTTGGGCAGAGCAGGTGTGACCCCCCAGCTGAGCGCTGCCAGACCGGGAAAGGGGGACCTTCCTTCCCGTCACTGTCCCCCAAGCCTTGGAGACACTTCTGTGTGCCTGGCTGACCCCTGAGCTGGGTGCTGCAGCCCTGGTTGCCTCTGAGCTCTGGGTACAGCAGGACCTCCCTCCTCTGCAGGTGACAGAAGAGAACAGCGTCCTCCTGTCAGCTCTGAAGAGGGCCATGGAACCACACCTGCTGCCTGCAGAGCTCCAGCTGGGTGCAGGAGCCTGAGGAGGTGCCAGCTGCCTTGTCTGTTCCACGCCACGGCCCCACAGCTGGCTCTTGGTGTCCCTGGGTCCGCATTTGGGGCTCTTTCCAGGACCTTCAATGTCGGTGGTCCTTCTTAGGGCCTGTCTTGTTCAAGGTTTGGCTTAAAAACCTGGCTTTGCTTTCCTTCCTCCCCCAGGCAAACTGCAGCAGTGCTGGTCAGCAGCATCAGAGGGCAGCGAGCAAGTCTCTCTGGCTGAGCTCTGACACTCACAGCCTTCTGTGGGGTCCTCCCAGGGCAGCACCCATGGAGGGCACCTCAGGACACTCATGGGGCACTGCACAGGATGGGGCCTCATGGCCTGGGGATGAGTCAGCTGGGCTCTCCCAAAGGTGTATGGGGCGGGCACTGAAGCTTCTGTCCACAGGGTGGGGGGACCGGTCATTGTCCACCTTGGGAGTGCATTCCCGACCACTTCCTGCCCTCTCTGCTGGACCCCAGGCCCCTGCATGGGGCAGGTGGCTGCAGAGTCTGACGTGCACAGGCCCAGGGAATGGGGTGTGTTCCCACCAGCTGTGGGTCTCACAACAGCTGTGGGTCTCTTGTGTGTCAGAACAAGAAGTGCTGCCCAGTTCCCAGCACTCTGAGAGGCTGAGGCAAGAGGATAGCAAGGTTGAGCTCAGCCTGGGCAACTCAGAGACTTACTGAGACCCTACCTCAAACATCAAACACAAAGAGGACCGGCGATGTATAGAAGGCTGTGGATTCAATCCTCAGTCCCAGAGAGAGAAAGCAAAAGAAAGAAGTGTAGCGTGGGTGTCAGTGGGGGCGGTCTTTGCCACAGTGGGGTCTCGGGGAGAGGGGCCTCCCTCCCTTAGAGTCGGTCTCCAGACGTGGCTGGCGGCTGGCGGCAAGGAAAGCACTCTTTCCCCATTTGGGGACCTGTGCAGACCCCACCTGGCCCTGGTCCTCACGCTGCTCCTTGTCCCCCACCACGCTCTCTGCGTGCTCCCCCCCAGTACCTGTTGCTCCTGAGGGCTCAGGCTGCAGGGACTGTGCCTTGGGTGGGATGTGTCCCATGGAGTGGGGCAATCTCAGTGTCCTCACCTAGAATTGGCAACAATGCTAAGCCTTGCCTCCTGGGGGCTTGCAAGGGAACTTAGGAGTGATGTGGTCAGGACCCACATCCAGGCAGGATGAGGAGAGGGGAGCTGCTTTGGACATCCCAACTCTAAGGCAGCCTCTAGACCCAACAGTCCCAGGAGAAGTCCGCCTTGTCCTGCTTGGCGGGGCTGGACCTCCATCACGCCTGCTTCCACCAGGACTGGGAGAGTGGCAGGGAGGAGGTGGGCATCCAAGTGGCTGCCAGAGCCTGGATGTTGGACAGATGTGGGGGCCAGACACGAAGGGCCAATCTCCAGGGCATTTGGGAGCCACCCCTGGTTGAGGGAGGGCAAGGTGCGGGCAGCACCTGGGGTGCAGGAGGAAACAGGCGGCAGGGAGGATGCAGGGAGCACAGCCCTCCTCCCGCTGGCCTGGCCGGGGAGCAGCCTGCAGGGCCTGCCGTGGGGGGCAGCAGCGCACCCCAGGTCAGACAGTGGGGTGCAGCTGGCACTCAGGCAGGGTGTATGCAGGGCCCTGGGAACGAGGTGAGGCTCAGGGAGGTCCGCCTGGGGCTCAGTGGGCACCTGTGCCGGGTGAGTGATGACAGGGAACTGTGCTGTGAGGAGCTCACAGTGGGACCCGTGCTCTGGAAACTGGGGTTCAGTGGTGGAGTGATCACTCTGAGTGGCTGTTCTGGGGTCAGGACTGGGGTTCAGAATAACCAGGGCGTCCTCTCTAGGCCTGAGAGCCCACAGGGCCCGGGCAGGGTGGACCCCTGGCCTTCCCTCCTTGTACGGCCTGTGCTGTCTTGTGCCACTTCCCCTCTGCCCTTGAGCTGCCCTTCACTCCTGTGGTCATGGGCTGCTTGCCTCCAGGATGCCCGCTCCACTCTGGTCCAGACTGGAGTGGCAGGGAGGGCATGTTGGCAGCATGGAGCCCATGTGATCCCCATACCAGGCCATGGGTGCAACTTGGGGCTCCCTGCATGCAGTGGACACTAGGCGAGGGGCAGCTCTGGCAGGACAGGTAAGCCAGTCTGCAGGGGAGGCTTGCTGGCTCAGGTGCCCATGAGGATGAGGCGTGCTCTGCTGGGGGGTGGGGGTGGCTGGTGTGCAGGATTCTGAATTCAGGAGCTGGGGCAGGATCAATCAAGAGGGTGTACGCGGGAAGAGAGTTCGGGAGTGTGTTTCCAGTCCTGGTGCTGGCCTGAGGCCAGCTGGTCCGGTGGGTGGAGTGAGAGACAGCCAGGCTGGGTGGACACTATCTCTGTGATCTAAAGACAGCCCTGACTGCAGAAGGACCCTTGTCCTGACTTTACAGATTGAGCAGCAGGAGCAGAAACTGTGCGGCTCTCCCTGCCTTTGCGGCCTGCTATGTGCCCGGGGCGGGTGGAGCAGCTGCCCTTCCGACCCACCATCCCGGGGATGTCACTGAGGAGGAAGGGACCCGAAGCTCCTCTCCTTCCCCAGACCCTCCTCTGCTGCCGCCTGTGCTGCGTTTCAGCCACGAGTTCTGGGTCAGGCAGTGGTCCACCCAGAAAGGCGCTGGCACTTGGACCTTGGTCCCGAGTTGCCCTCTGTTCAGGGAAAGGTGGCCCACAGCTGGGTGTTTACTTCTCTCATCCTCCTGCCTCCTCTTGGGTGAGCACTGTGTCCGCTCCGTGCTGGGCCCATCAGCCATGCCCAGCCGCACGGAGCCCAAGCTTCTGAGAATTTAAGGGAGTGCTCCCCGCTGGCTCTGGTGCTAACTGTGCTTTGCCTTGGGAAAAGGCTACTGGCTCAGAGCCACAAACCACTGCACTCTTGGGCCGGGCTGGTCCACCAGGCTCCTCCTTCGCTGGCCGTTGGTCAGCCCTGGGTGGGCCTGTTTCTGACAGCTGATGGGTGGGGATGTGGAAAACCAGCAAAAACTGCCTCACCTTTCATTTACATGAAATCCACATAACATAATTAATCTAATCCATTGTACAGTCCAGGGACATTACATTCTCAGTGTTATGTAACCATCACTACCTCATTTCAAAACTTCTTCATCACCCCAGAAGAGCAGCGGGTGCCCCTTAAGTGATTACTCCCCACGACTTTCCCAGCTCCTGGTACCCCACCCTACTGTGTGTCTCTTCGAAGCTATGGCTCTGGGGGCCTCATGTGAGTGGATTGTACGGGACTTGTCTTTTGTGACTGGCTGGTTCCCTCGAGCACAGTGAAGGGTCAGAGAAATGCTGTAGGTAACTGGCCTCGTGCTATGCAGACTGGTGGTGTATGTGTGTGCGTGTGTGGACCACATTTTGCGCATCTGTTTATCTGTCCCCAGACACCTCACTACTCTGTCCTTGGACCTTTGGGGACAGTGCTGCTATTCGTGCCCCAGGGTTTTCAGTTCTGGCTCCACATCGAGGGGTGGTATTGGTTTAACTCTTTGAGAACCACCTGACTCTTCTCTACAGTCCCTCTTGATGCCCAGGGTTTCACATGCATGCAGGTCCCACTTCCCACTGCACCATACACCGTACCTTCTCCACGATGCTCCTTTGGAGAGGAGGCTGAGCCTCAGCAGGCTCCAGCTGCACACTCACGCTGGGGGAGAGGGGTTGGAAGCAGAGCTGTCTGTTCTTTCCACGGGATCCCAGCTCTCCTGTCTGTGGTGGGGCTGGGAAGAAGGGTGCCTGACCTACTGTGGGTCGAGCCTGAGCCCTCCCCTGCTTCCTGGTCTGGAATCAAGAATCCTCAGCATGGGGGGAAGAGACTGTGCCTCTCCCTAGCCCTGGTCACAGTGGAGTACCGTGCTGGCTTCCTATGGCCGCTGTAAGAGATCCCCACAGCCTGTGGCCAGCAGTGCGACTTCTATCTTTTACACTTCTCCAGGCTGGCAGCCGGTGGTCTTCCCTTTGTCAGTGTCCACAGCAATTCAGCACAACCAGCTAGTTGTTACCAGCGAAGAGCCGACATTGATGTGTCATTGTCAACCCAAGTCATTGTCCCTCGGCTTCCTTCTCCCCAGTGTCCCTGTCCAGGCACCCACCTGGCATTTAGTGGTCACAGCTCTGGGGCTGCTGTGGGCCATGGCGGCTTCCTGGACATCCTTGTTTCTGATGGCAGTGCCCAGGGGGACGGCCAGGTCTCTGTGGACTGCCTGCCCCTGCTGATGTCTCCATTTCCTCACCTTTGGCCTGGGGCTGTGGAGGCAAAGAGTCCTCATCTTTTCTTGAGAAATATGAAAGACTTCTTCATGCAGCAAACATTTCCTAAATGCTCATGCTGTTTTGGGGGTTCTGGAGAAGATCCAGGTTGGCTCCATTGCCCAGAGCCCAGGTGAAGGGGTTGCCTCCTGACACATGCACACTGGCCACGTCTGGCTCTGTGGAAGGGCCAGGCCCATGATGGGGACAGTGGGGACAAGCTGAGGATAGTGCAAGGTGGCGCCAACTCTCAGAGCAGGGCAGTGAGGTGTGGGCTGTCCTCCTGAGGGGCCACTGTTGGTGGGCTGGATCTCAAACCCTAGTGGATGGCTCCCCTAGGGCCTCCCTGTGCTGCCACAAAGAACATGCTGGGGCTGAGAAAAGAGCAGCAGGAGGGTGGGAGGATGGGCTCCTAGGCTGGATGGCCCCAGCACGTGACCCTCGCCTGCCTTCTTCCTGTAGGTTACCCGAGGGCCTGGAAGCTCTCTGCCTGCAACTCTGGTGCCCATGTGTCTGCCCCAGAGCAGGGCAAGGACCAGGTGGGCACCGTGCTGCTGGCCCCGAACTGTGCCCTTTCAAACATCAGCTCAGCAGTGACTGAACTCTGTTGGTGAGGGCTCCCCAAGAAACCAGCAGAGCTCAGCCCTGGGGCCCTGGGGCCCTTCCCACGAGACCCCTCAAGGCCTGCACCCAACTCTCATGCGGAGCAAAGACTTTGCCCTGCGCTGTGAAGCCTCTTCCCAACACCACATGAGACACTAATCCTGTAGCCACATTTCCTGCAGACACAATACCAGATGTGCTCGTGAAGAAGCGCATGGGTCATCCTGGGACGTCCCCTGCCATGCCTGCCAGAACTCACCAGGGAAATAAGGAAACAGCCAAAATACAACCAAAGCAGACTCTTCCACTGCCTGCCCAGGCTGTGGGTTCCTGGACAGAGCTGAGGCCCTGGCCCTAAGCTTCATGCCTCCTGGATTGGTCTGACCATGTGGCACAGACTGTGGAGCCAAGCCTGGGAGTTATTTGGGTGGACCAGCAGCTCTCACTTGTGTTTCCTGACCCGTCTGACTGGAGCCTCGTCCCAGCGAGGGGGAGCTGCAGTGCTGCCCAGGCCCTTTCAGGTCGGGACCTGGTCTCTCCCGGGGACCAAACAGCTGCCCCTGCACAGGTGAGCGAGATTTGGGTGGAATCGGAGCCAAGCAACGCCTGGAAGCAGGGTCAGGTGGTGACATGCAAAATCCAACTGCACTGATAGAGCACCCTGGGCCTGTGGACAGCGGGAAGCCCTGCCCTGTGGAGGCCAAATGGTTAAAAGAGAAGAAAGGAACTGGGAGAAATCAAGCTGTCAAGTAGTTAATTGACTTTGCCTCAATCAGCCTGATGAATATTCATGAGGTGGCGGGTCCTCCTCAGGGCCCTTGTCTGATCCAAGGCTCCTCTTCCTCTAAGCTGACATGACATCCCTGAGCCTGCCTCCTCCTCCTGAAGTCAGCCCTGATTGGCTCAGCGGCGCACTCGAAAATGCCATAGCAACCCCTGGCTGGTTGCCTAGCAATTCTTCCCTTTCTTTCCTTTTTTCCCCTAAAGCCCAAGCCAGTAATCCATAGGCTTAGGGGTGGAAATATCTTCATGCGGTGGTGTGTGCATGTGTGCATGTGTGTGCCTGTGTGTATGTGCAGGAGCGTGCAGGAGTGTGTCGTGTGCACGAGGAGTGAGCTGGGGGGCTGTCCCTGGCAGGCAGTCACCCTGGAGTGTCCTTTGCCACCCCTGCCAGCCAGGGCCCCCAGCCTGTTTCAGGAAGCCTGTCTGCCACCAGTGCAGGCACCAGGGAACCCAGGGCTTGTCTTTAACCCTGCCAGCTTCCCTGCCAGGTTTCTGGGGGAAAGCAGAGTTGATCTTAGCTCCCAGGACTGTCCTGCAGGAAGGACATTGGCTGGCTTTGACTTGGCGCAAAGGCCCAGGGTCCCCTTGGGTGGCTTTAGGGGGTGACAGAGGCTTCCTGGGAGCCCAAGCAGGTCATCAGGGGTCTACATGCTGGGGATGGGTGTGATGGAGTCTGGCCTGGGTGAAGCCCCCAGGAGGCTGCCCAGAGACGCCCCTTCTCACCCGCTGACCCTCCCTGACCAAGTCCCAGAGACAGTGCTGAGCTCAGTGCTGGGCCCATCCACCAGGTGTCTCTAGCGGACACTGAGGCGTCAGACTTGGGGGAAAGTGGTGGGCACCATCTCTGACTGGTGACTTCGCACTTGGGAACTCAGTAGTGCTGCCTAAGCCCCGGGTGAGAGACCTGGAACTGGAACTGACCCTTAGTGGTGCTGTGGGCTGAGGCCTGGTCTGCACAGCTCTGGATGGGTGTGTCTGGGAGAGGGTGTGGGCCTGTGTGGGGCTGCCTGGGACTTGGGGTCCTGTGACCTCTGCCTGGGACAGGCCGGAGAGCACTGGCGGGCAGGCAGGCAGTGGCAGGCAGCCCAGGGGAACTCCGGCTCCAGGCCCTTCCAGAGGTCTGCTGGCCACTAGGGATGCTGGTCGGAAGACCGAGTTCCAATTTCCAGGAAGATGTGGGAGGATTTTCATTTGCCTTGTAGTGGGAAGGTACGTGAAAAATGGCAGTAAAAGCCCAAGAGACCATGCTAAATTTCTTTCTTATGGGAATAACAGAAACATGAGGGGGCGGGGGCTGGCAGTGGAGAAACTGGCTGTGCCTTAGGGGTGGGGGAGATGGTATGCACTGCAGGAGGAGGATTCTGGGGTGGGTGGTTTACTTTCTGTGGTGCTGGGTATTGAACTCAGCGTCTCATGAATGCTAGGCAAGTGCTCTACCACTGAGCTACAACCCCAGCACGTGTGCAGTGCCCACCAGCACCTCCCCACTTGCTGACCTCACTGCCCGAGGGTCCGTCCTCCCAGCCATGCCACGCCAGCCCCACCACTGCTTCTCTAGTGACCTAGAGCTTACGGCCCCTGAGGCCTAGCAGCCAGGTCCAAAAAGTGAAGGTGGCTGTTTCCGTGGGCTCCTTTGAGGCGAGTCCCTTGGGCGGGCTGGCCTTGTGGCCTGGCAGCCTCTGGAGTCTGGCCTGGTCTGAGAGCCAACAGCCCGAGTCTAAGCTCAAGGAGCATCTGACACCGCCAGCCCCTCCACTGCCCCAAATCAAAGCTCTTAATTCTTGCCCATTCATGGCATGTCGGGATCAAAAAACCTGTTGCACTGGGCTGAAGTCAACTGCTAACATAAGTAGCTCCATGACCCAAAGCCAGAAGCCACCATTACCTCTGCCGAAGTCTAGGCAGCTCCTTTGGCCATCCCAGATGGAGGACATCTCAGGGCTGTGCTTCCTCTCGAGGTGTATGTATGCTCCTGGACTGGCATAGCAATGTGCTTATGTGCGAGTGTGTGCACGCATGTGACTGCAGGTGGAAGTGTGTTCGTGTGTGCATGTGTGCAAACACCTGTGAGCATGGGCATGGGGCTTTGTTCCTGTGTGTGTGTGAATGCACAAGCATGTGTGTGTGCATGTGTGTGCATCTGCATGTGTGTGTGAGCGTGCCGGGGGTGCCCTCAAGTGTGCTGAGTGATGATGACTGATATGAGCACTTTATTTTTGACCAGTGGAAGCAAAATCACTTGCACACCACGCCAAGCCCCCCTTGCTGGTTTCCCTGTTAAACACAGCAAACGTGCGTATCCAATGAAAAGCTACATAGCAACTTAATCTCCTATCGATCCTGAGGAAAGGAAAATAAAACCCTGCTCCCTGGGGCATGGGTAGCCCGATCAGCAGTTGTTCTTGATATAGAATGTGGGCAATAGCTGCATTAAATATAAGTGGAGATACAGAGAGGATCAATAAACCCCCACTTCCTCCGCACTAATTGAAAACCAAGTCAAGGTTTGATTAATGGGGAGCTTCCAGGGCACAGAGGCCCGAGTGTGCTCCTGCCAGGATGCCCTCCTGGGGGCTGCATGCTGTGCGTGTGGTGGGATCTAGGGCTGGAGGTGGGTCCCAGAGAGTGGGACCAGCCGGGGACGACATTACTGAGGGGCAGTTAGCCCCAGGAGGGGGTGTGGGCTCCACTGAGTGGGTGGGGGAGCCACAGTGACAGCCTCACAGCCTCCTCAGAACTTCGGGGCCTGGGGTCTGCTTACCTGGCTCCCAATTCTTGTCAGACCTGGGTGGGGCCAAGCAACCCTCCCTGGAACCAGTCTGGGCAGGCGCTGGAAAGTGTAGGTCGGGCAGAGGCCTGGAGTGGGGTGCAGCAGGGAGGCAGAGGCAGGAGGGGCAGCCCTGGGAACAGCTGGTGTCAGAGAGTGACCAGCGCCTGGGGCCCATGAGAAATGCACAGTCCTTTGTATTTCTGAAGGATGATGCCCTGTCCTTAGCATTCCACTCCCCAGGCACCCTAGGTATTGAGGTGGGAGGGAGGTCAGCATGTGGGCCTGGGGGTGGGGTCCCCCACACTGGCTCGGGGCCCCTGAGCCCACTGTGTCCTCCTCGGGTAAGGAGAGGTGCCCAGGCTGGGTGGCCTGGAACAAGCCTACTGCTCTGGGATTTGGGGCACGGGGACTGGATAATGGGGCTCCTTGTGTGTGCTGAGCTGAGCAGAGAGCCCCAGTGGGAGAGCAGGTGGATGAACAGCAGCAACCCAGACTCTCCTTTGGGAAGAGCAGACAAGCTGTGCCCAGTGAGAGGGACGGCCCCAGCCGAGGGCACCCCAACCAGGGTGAGGACCGGTATACCCCCTGCTCTCCCCGCACACTCAGCCTCTGGAACCATGAGCGATCTGGCCTTTCAGTTCAGGGCCTGGAGACGGGCACGTGCGTGGCAAAGCATGTGTGATACGGGCACAGTGTGCGATGTGAGTGTACCTGCCATGGTGGGTCCTCAGGGCAGCTGGGGGCAGGCCGAGCTGTCTTCTTTCTTTTCTTTCTTGCTAAGCTGCTCAAGCTGGCCCTGAACTCACTCTGTAGCCCAGGCTGGCCTGGAACTCACAGCAATCCTCCTGCTTCAGCTGCTCGAGGCTGGGATTACAGGCGTGCCCACCATGCCAGGCTTATGCTGTTTTCTGCCGTGTGTCCTGCTCCTGCCCAGGGGTCTGGTTCGGGAACTATGGTCCCTCAGGACTGGGGATGATGGGGGTCCGTGGCGATGGTAAAGCTTACACTTGGGGGAGGTCCTTTTCCTTACCAATTTTCTTACTGCGCTGTGATGTGTACAGAATAAACTGCATCGGCTCAGTGTACACCCAGCGACTCAGGAGATCACACCTGGAAGCCATCACCCCAGTCAGCGAAGGAGCTCTGGGGGCCCCGCAGGGCTGCCGGTGGGAGCTTGGGTCTTGAGAGTGGCGCCCTCGGGTGTGGTCTGTCCAGCTTGGCCTCTTTCCTCTGGGCCGTGATGCGAAGCTTTATCTGTGCTGCAGTGCAACTGGACGTCTCCTTTCATGGCCAAGTGGCCTCTTTTATGCGGCCACTCTGTGGCTTGTTCTCAGTTCCTGGTAGATGGGTGTGGGGAGGCTCCAGGCTTGGAGATGGGTATGAAGTTTCCGTGAGCATTTGTGACAAGTCTGGGAACGCAGGTGTGTTCATTTTTCCTCTTGTAAATACCTGGGGGTGGAGCATCTGTCCCAGCAACTGGTGCGTGTTGCATTTTTCAAAATTTACAGCCCTCAAATTCACCCTCTTGCGGCATATAATCCGTCCACTTTGAGAATATTCACAGGACTGCAACCAGTGCCACTGTAATTCCAGAACATTCTCATCACTCCAGAGAGACCTGTCCTGGCCCCTGACAACCACACACCTGCTGTCTGTCTCTATGGCTTTGCCTCTTTGGGGCCATTTGCTTGAATGGAATCATCATTATGTGGCCTTTTGTGTCTTGTTTCTTTCACTGAGCACAGTATTTTAAGAACTCCTCCATGTTGATTATGAATGAGCATTTCATCCCTTTCTTATTGCAGAATAACATTCTGTGGCGTGGAGGATACAGCCATGTCTGTAGAAGCTGCCGAACGCTCTCCTGGGGTGGCTGTTCATTTTGCCTTCCCCTGACGATGCATGAGGGTTTCCTGTGCCCATGTCTTTGCCAGCCCGGGTCCTGCCAGCCCTGTTCAGTGTTAGGGTTAGGGTTCTAGTGGGAGGGAGGTGGTGCCTGACTACGGTTTTCTTTTTGTTTGTTGTTAAGGTGCCGGGATCAAAAGCAGGACCTCTGCACAGAATGACCCCCGCCTTTTTTATTTCTCTTTTGAGACAGTCTCCTCAAGTTGCTACATTTCCAGGCTTAGCCTCCCAGAGTGCTGAAGTGCAAGCATGTCTCCCACAGCAGCCTGGCTCTCCCTTGCATTTCCCTGCGGACTGATGATGTCGAACATCTTTCCTGTGCTTATTGTCCACATTTGCACACCTCCTTTGTTGAGGTGTTGTTTGAGTCTTTTGCCTATGTTGCAATTTGTTTGTCAGCCGAGTGTCCTGGCACACGACAGTAACCCCAGCACCCTGGGGACCTGAGGCCAGAGGGTCACAAATTTGAGCCCAGGCTGGGCAGCCTAGTGATTTAGGGAGCTCTTGCCTCAAGATAAAAACAAAAAAGTCAGGGATGCAGCTCAGTGCACAGGCCCTGGGCTCAGTCCCTATACCAAAACCAAAACAAAGCAAAACAGCACGATTGTTTTCTCAGCTCTGAGCTATGTGAATTCCTTCGGTGTTGTTTTGTTCTTTCTTATTTATGTTTTGGCTTTCTGAGACATAGTCTCACTGTGTAGCCCAGGCTGGCCTTGAGCTTGCAGCACTCCTCCTGCCTCAGCCTCCCGGGTTCTGGGATCACAGGCGTGAGCCACCCCCCTCCCCAGAGTCTTTGGGTATTGTGCAATAAGCCCCTTGTCAGAATGTGTATCAAGAATACCTTTATTCTGATTGCTTTTTCATTTCCTGAGTAATCTTGCAAAGAACAGAGGTTTTAGTTTGCGAGAGTCTGACCTCTCAGTCACTTTCCCCTGCCTTGTTCCTAACCTCGGGGAAAGTACTTTGTGCTGGGTGCGTTCAGCTGCGCTATCTCACGGGTGCCCTGCCAGGCAGAGGACATCGGCCATTCTGAGATGCCCACGTGCCAACCCCTGGAGCCCCAAGACGGTTACCTTGCACGGCAGGGGGCAGCTGAGGTTGCTGATCGGCTGGCCCTCGGGACACTTCCTTCCTGGATTGCCCAGGAGAACCCAGTGTGATCACAAGTTTCTTACAAGCGACGGAGGTGGAAGAGGGGGTCAGAGATCTGGCAAGAAAGGCCTCACCACTGCTGGGGAGGAGCAGCCTGGAGAAGGGCTTCAGGGAACATGGCCCGGTCCAGACTTTGATTCAGTTGGGTGAGGCTCGTTTCAGACTTCTGGCTTCCAGGACTGTAGGGTGACCGGTGTGTATTGCGTTAAAGCCCACTGTGCATCCACCCGCTCCAGGAGTTTTGGCAACTCATACTCACCCTTCTTGGTTGAGTTCTTTTCTACTCCAACCTTGTCACCAGTTGGCTTTGGTGAAATGCCTTTTCTCATTTGTGGCGATAACGTATGGGGTTATCATTTTCTTCTATTTTGTTAATATGATTGATTACATTTTTTGGTTTTCAAATGCTCAACTAACCCTGCATTCTTGGGATAAATCCCACTTGATTGTGATGTATTATCCTTTGTATCTAAATATAGGTGAGGTCAATTTGCTAATACAATCACCTTCCTGTATCTGTAGGCTCCATACCTGCAGGCATCTGTGGATTCCACCCACAGGTCAGAAATATTTTTAACAATGCATCTGTATTGAACATGTAGAGAAATTGTCTTTTTATCATGATCCCCTGGGTAATACAGCTGTTTAGACAGCATTACATAGCAATAGGGGTTGTAGGTCATCTAGACATGATTAACGTGTTCAGGATGGTGTGCACTGGTTCTACACAACCCTCTGCCATTTGTGTTTGGGACTTGACCTGAGGGGGTCTGACTGCATTTTGTAAAGGATCTTTGTGTGGAGCACCTTCCAAACAAGGACCCAGAGTGTCCCTGAGAGGAGCTGGATGTTCTCTGAAGCCACTCCTCCACCCACCCACCCACCTGCTCTTCCACTCAGCCATTCATCTGCGCTCCTCTCCACCTCCCATCCGCCACACATTCCTCCGTTGACCCATCCACCATCGTCCGGCCACCCACTATCCACTCAAGTGGCCCCAGGACTTGCACCCTGGGGCTGGCACGTGAGCAGCAGCGCTCAGAGGTGCTGGCTCACTGTCCCCTGGGCGCTGTGAGGTGCTGAGGCTGGGCAGCCCCGAGGCAAGTGTGTACATTCTCACCCAGGAGCGCGCCCTCCCATTTCCTGACCTTCAAGAGAAGAATCTGAGGGAATGGGGTGCCAGTGCCAGCGTGAACAGTGACGCCTTGGTCACTTCAGGGCCACCTGGGGCCACTCGTCGGCTCCTGCGCTGCTCTCCTCAGCTGTGAGGCCTGCTCCAGACCTGCTGCCCAGAAGCCTCACCATGCAGCACCACTTCTCACACTTACATGTGCACATGAGTGGCCTGAGGCCTTGTAAAGGTGGGTGGGCTTCGGGGCTCCAGGGTGGGCCTGAGATTCTGTTTCTGACAAGCTCCGGGAAGGCCGGGCTGTTTTGGGAAGCCTGGGCACAGAGCACTCCCAAGCTGCCCCTCTGTCCCTTGCTGTGGTAACACGGTTTGCACTGGTGGCAGGATGTTATTCCTGTGGGCAAGTGACTCTCCCTGTACATGACTGGCTGAATCTTAGCATCGGTCCAGGCTTCCCGCCACATGTCAAGTGTCTGACAAATGGCCCTGGGGGCAGGCATGGTGGAGCCACCCCGGGGGCTGTGGACGCTTGGCTACTCTCTGGTTGGCACCCAAGCTACTGAAACTCTGATCTTCAGGGGCAAGGGGGCCAGGACAGGGCTGCAGCCACCGTCCATGGGCCTGTCCTACCTGTCCCGCCTGGAAGGCCAGCTCGAGGCGGGAGCACACTGCAGTCTGAATCTGGAGGGCAGGGAGTCCGGCCAGTTCCCTGAGGCACGTGCCACCACGGGCAGCTGGTGAGCTTGGTGTAGCCACTCATGCAGCAGCTGGTGGCCCGGGGAGCGAGGAGGGGACGCGTGTCTGTACACCCTGGTTAGCTGCCCCCAGGGGATTAGTCCTCACTTAATGCCTCCCGGTGCCCTGACCCAGCATTCTGCCTGGCCCCCCCACCACAAATAGCATCAGGCAGGACTCCGAGACTTTATCTTTCAAGATTAATCCAGCTCAGCGTGGAATTAATGAGAACATCCCTTTAGACAAGGGTGCCCAAGGTCAGGCGGCAAGAGCCAGTTGGGATGCTCAGAGGTCATTTTCCTGTAGCAGGGCCGAGGGAAGAGCCCACTTTAGGGGAGCAGGCGGGGCTGAGGGAGCACGGACGGAGGAGAGATTTTGTTGAACGAGGGTGCAGTGTTCGGCTAGGAGAAGACCTCGGGGCAGAACAAGGGGTTCGTCTGGCTTCAGATCAGTGTGTTCACAGGCTTGGGGATCGCCTGGGGCTGCCGTCCTCAAAAGTCAGGGGAGCCCCAAGCTCTTTCCGGAACCCTCTGCACCCAGGGCTCTCGGTCGGGCCCGGGCTGCCGCAGGGCAGATGGGCGTGGTTAAAATAGGAGGGGCTGACACGGCGGACGAAGCTTCGCGTGGGCGGGGCGCCGCGGGTGGGCGGGGCCATAGAAGACGGGCCAGAAGGTCCGCAGGCTTGGAGAGCAGGCGTTTCTTGCGCACAGCTTGGTCCTTCGCGGCGAGGAGGAGAGACCGTCCAGAGCCTCCTGTCACTGTCTCCGGAGGGGACCCTCTGCAGGTCTTGGCCAGCATTGTCGCCGCTCCCCTTCGGTCCTGCAGGGGCCTCAGTGTGGGTGGAAGGACCCGCAAGGGGCAGGGGCCTGGAGCGAAGGCGGAGGAGATGGCGCTGGCCAGGGGCCTAGGACGCTCGAGGCCCCACCTTCCCTTGCGGGGAGCTAAGCCCTCCCTCAGGGCCAGCCCTCCAGCCCTCTCCTGCCCCCCTTCCTCCCCGCTCTGCCTTCTCTACCCGCCCAGCCCCGAGGGCGTCTGCGGCGGGCCGGGAGGAGTCCCACCCAGGCGCGGCTCTGGGCTCCTTGGTCCTCACTTCCTGCGTCATCTGGGCGCCTTCAGTCTCAGGGTCACAGGAGAGATTTACTCTTCGACATTTCAGATGAACTTTTTGTCTTGTACGTGTTTGTAAACCACCTCTGTCCCAGTTTAGAGCAGAGAGTCAGTCTTTTGCGGCTGAAAGCGCTCGGGGCTCAGGCGACCAGCGAACAGTGGGAGGGGGAGGGGGAAGCAGAGTCGGGGGCGGGGTGGGGAGAGAACCTAGGCGGGAGACCAGGCCTGATCCGCGCCCTCCACGCGTGCTGGATCCTTCAGTGCCCCACATTCCTTCCTCTGCTGGCTGGGTGGGCCCTGTCGCTCTCCCCTCTTCCTCCTCCTCCCCTCCCTCCCACCTTGGTGGACCACAGCACAGAGGTGTGGGGGAGGGCAGGACGGATTGCGGGTCCACCCCCTCCTGTTTGTAGGTTTAGAGGAACCCCTGGAGTGACCTGACACCCCCCCCCAAAGGACACCCATTGAAGTCGTGAGGGCTTCAAACAAATCCATCCGGAGTTGTGGCCTTTACTGGATCTTTTAAAAATAGATTTGCAGGCTGTCCTTGCTCACCGCCTTTGATTGTGCTTTGATTTAAAATCAGGCCCATCAGATGCTGCAGAACTAAGCATTATACAGTCTAGCCCCTCTTCCTGGGGTCGCAGTAGGAAGGGCTATACGTTTAACTGCCCGGCACCCCCAAGGGGCCGGCCCTCCCTCCCAGCACACTGGCCTTTATTGCTGTGTTAATTTGGAAAACAGGTCATTGGAAATTAAATTGCTCAAAATAGGTCACCAATTATAACTCTGCATTCTATTAAAATGAGAGCATCTGAGATCTTTATTAGTTTATTGTAATTAAAGGCAAAATCCTCGCTCTTGCATTATCGCTGGGTGTGTGTTCCTGTCTCCAGCACCCCTCCTCTGGGCGCATAAAATGCCTCCAGGGAGCCACTGCCTCCTGGCATCCTGGCTCAGAAAGTCTGAGAGCCACTCTGGCTGAGGCCCCTGCTGGACAGAGCACGAATGGATAAGAGACAAGATGTGGAATTATCAACAAAAACGGGAAGCGCTCTCATTCACCAGCAACACGGGGTCCTGATGAAACTCAGCCCCCAAACATGACCTCCTGCAGCAGCGGCAGCCCAGCACAGTGTGGGCCACCCTGCTGTGACCTTGCTCCTCTGAGAAGGCTCCCAGCCAGATATGCCGGCAGCTGTGTCTTCATCTTACACCTCTGAAATTTATCTGTAGGCACTCAGAGTGAGCTGTTTATCCTTTTTGCATGTGAGAGGACTGCAGCACAGAGAGGCTAAGGAAATTACCCAGGGCCACCCAGCTACTGTGCGTGGAGCTGGATTTGGATCCAGATGCCACTGTGGTCCACAGGAGTCTTTTCCATAAAGAATAGGTCCTGTTCACCTGTTCACCTCCCCGACAGGGGAGCTCAGGGGACGCTATGCCCACCTCAGCCCACCTAAGCCACAGGGAGCAGGTGGCCTTCATTCTACCCAGAGGAAGCCAAAGTCTGAGAAACTCTGCTGGGACAGCACCAGGTCCTGACCATACCAAGCAAGGCTAGGGCCTCTTGCTGCAGGCCTTTGGTTGCTGTAGGAGCCCATGCTGATTGAGGCCCTGGGGAACAGCATCTTTCGAAGCAGAGGACAGGTACGGGCTGGGTCACTTCAGCCTCACCAACTGTGACCTGATTCTCCCTGGCCCTGGCTGATGCCAACCCTGCCAACAGCCCAAGTCTACTCCCAAGAGGCAGGTGGCACAAGGGCAAACAGAGGTGACTGTGCCCATTGTGAGGTCCCTCCCAGCTCTTCTCTTTCAGCCCTCCACTCCCCACTCGGAAAGGGAAGCCCAGGGGCTCCCACCCTGACCTTTGTCACCCACCCTCACCAGGCTTTGGTTGTGGGAAAGGAAGTTCTGACCCTCTTTAGGCCCCCCAAGGCCTGCAGGTACCCCCAAAAGCATGGTAGACCCACTTTCTGCCTTCTTGGAGCTGGTAAGGAGATGCCGTGCTGCCTTCCCGTGGTGTGAGAGCCACCTTTGGCCATGTTGTCGGGGCAGAAGGCAGGAAGGACAGGCAGCAGGCTGCAGGCTTGGGTCCTTGACCGGCTTAGACCAGAGTCCTGTGGCTGAGGTGGCTCCTGAGGGCGATGCTGCTCCCTCCACCTGGGGTGCACTGAGCCCTGCACAGGTGTGAGCAGGGGAGCACCAGGAAGCAGAGTGTGTGACAGCCCCACCTGGCATCCCAAGCCCCAGTGCAGTGGCAGTGAGGCTGTCTGGACAGGTCGGGAGCAGGCTGGGCCAGCTGTGGTCCTCTGCCCAGCTCTTCTGCATCTTCTCCATTTGTGTTTTGGGCCAGCATTCACCAGGCACTGCTGTCTGTTTCAGAACAACCTCAGCAGTCTGAGATTTGCTGTTCCTGGTCCAGTGTGCAGAGCCACAGCCCGGGTGACCTGGAGGCTGGAGCGCTAACCTTCCCTGCAAGAAGCCGCCCAGGGCAAGCTGAAGAGGAAGGGAGGAGCAGCTGTTAGATTTTGCACACGATGCATTACACTTGGAGTGGTGAGCAAGCAGGCTGCGTCCTGGGAGGCAGATGACGCCCTTTGTGTGGGGACAGCGACGCAGCTGTGCACGCTCAGACTGGTTGTCACAGACACTGGGCATTCAAGCCCTTCCCTCTGAAGCATGGATGTCTTGATTTGCGCTGGTGGAAAATATCAGGACAGGAAATCCAGGAGCAAATGTAGCTCTGTGGAGCTGCCCGTTCATTTGCAAAAAGAAAAAATATAGATGCCTCTTTCTCAACTTTGCAGGCACTTTTGTGCAGTGAGAATCAGAATGAAGTGGAGGGAGGGGGATGAAGAAGCTTGGTGGACTTTGTGCCCAAGGCAGTTTGGCAGGTCACAGCCACCTGCCTGCAGAAGGAGACCCTGCACCCCCACTCTTGGAGAGGTCCTAGTGGCCCTTCATGGCACCAGTGTGTGTCCCGGGAGTGTTAGCCAGCACTCAGCAGTCACGAGTTCTGCCTGAACCCTGTGGAGTGATGGAGGGGACGTGGGAAAGGACAAGGTGCATCCCCAGCAGCCCTCTCATTCCTGGATTTGGGGTTGTACAGATCTGCCAGTGCCCTGTCTCCTGTCACTTGGGGATCCCCACATGCTTACCCCTAAAACCTCAGTTGTGGGAGTTTATTTCAGGACTAGGGCACAGAACAGTGGTCTTGTGCCCAGACATGGCTCCTTCAACCCTGGGATCCCAATGCAGCTGGGCATGGGAGACCTGTCCTCTTGTCCTTGTTCAGTGTCCGATCTATGAATATGGGGCAGAAGGAGGGGTGGGACAGGGCCCATATTTGCCAAGCCGCTATCCAGAGCAGCCGTAACCCGGCAGAAAGTAGACGGAGTGGTTCGTTAGGCATGGCGCAGGTCTCTGGGGTTTCCCTGAGGAAGGGCCACAAATGGGGTGAAACCGATCCATAGGTCTGGAGGGCAGAAGTCTGAGACCAAGGGTCACAGCCTGTGTTCTCCTTCCACCCCTTCCAGTTTCTGGTGTCCCTTGATTTGTGGCCACATCGCTCCAGTCTCTGCCTTCTTCACAGGGCCATCTTCTCATGTGTCTCAAATCTCCCTCCCTTGTAAGGGTACCAGACATTGGATCTGGGGCCCATTCTAGTCCAGTGTGACCTTATCTTAACCAATACTATCTGCAAAGACCCTGTTTCCAGTAAGGTACCATTCACAAGAATAGGGATTAGGATGTGGGCAAATTTTTCTTGGGACACAAATCAGGCCTTCATAGCCCAAAGGAGCCACTCAGTTCTTGCCCTGTGTGTCCAGGGCCCCCTCACATGCTGCTCCCCTCCCCAACCTTGAGGGAGCCTGTTATTTTTCAAACATACCAAACCATGCGTAGCTGCTCTTCTGAGTCTGCCTGCTCAAGCTTCTTTTAGTGGGGCCCCTTTGTGTTCCACCTTGTCTGGAGGGGATGGTCTTGGTGGGGTGGGGTTGAAAGACCGCCTTGACCCCAGCCAGGGCCCTGGGTTCCCTTCACTTTCTTGTTTGTGCTGAGCTGAGCCAGTGGACAAGTAGGAGCTGAGGAAATGAGTTTTGACTGCCCAAAGGCACGCCTGGAAGTTGGAGAGTGGGACCATTGTTGGACACCTGACTCGGTTTTGCACTTCTTCAACACGAAGTCGAATGCCCAGATAGAAGTGAGTCACTGGAGCAACTTCTAGGTTGCCAGAGAGCTGCCGGGTAAGCACACAAATCAAACACACGTCAGTCGCTTGGGCTCATGCCTATCAGGTTCCCTATGCACAGGATTTCATGTGGCTGTAGCAAATGCCAGCCCAGTGGGAGGCAGACACTGGGGCTGCGAGCCTCAATGCTGGGTTCTGAGCTCCTGGAAAAATGCAGCAGCAGGGCCACCTTGTCCTGAGGGGTGACAGACAGCTTGGGACTGAAATCTTCGAGCCCTTCAGCGCAGGGTGGCTGCAGCCCTCATGGCCTCTGGAGTGGCAACAGCTGAGTCCACTGTGGCAGACTTGCCTTTTGCACCCACAAGCTTTGTGTTTTAGTTGCTTTTTCCTCACTGAGACAAGACACCTGACACCCACAACTTAAAGGAGGGGAGGTTTATTTTGGCTCACGGTTTCTGAAGTTTCAGTCCATGGCTGGCTCGCTCAAATGCAGAAATGGTGTGGCAGATAGGCTTTTTGTGGAGAAAAACTGCTCATGTCCTGGGGGCCAGGGAGCAGAGAGAGAAGGGAGGAGACAGGGAGGGAGACCCTTCCAGGTCACAGCCCCGGTGGCCGCCTCTTCTCACCAGGCCCATCTCCTAACAGCAGTCAGCACATTCAGTACAGCAGTCAGGGACCCAGCCCTCTCGCTCCCTCCAAACGCGATGCTCCAGATCTAAACCATAACACCCCATGACTCGGAGGGACTGTTTACTCTTGGCACCCCAGTCCCTTCATAGCCCACGCTCATCTAGGTGAGGTTGAGTGAGGCCCTGTTAATGTTGGCTGGTCTCCTCTCAGTGACAAGAGTTCCCCATGGTCCTGCCAGGACACTCACAGCAGAACCATGCTGAGGGCCGCATGGCCTTGCAGTCTCTGAGCAGCTTTGTTTGGCAGCTGTGAATAGCTGCTGGTGCTGGACCTGCAGCAGGACAAAGCCCAGGAGAGAGCTGCTTCTGAGCTGTCTACAGCCCAGACTGAAGTCCAGAAAGAAGAGAGTGGGGGTTGGGGCTGCCTGGTTTCTTGCCTGGTGGCCTTTCCAGGCAGAGACACGGCAGTGAGCCTGGATAGACTTCAGCGTTATGCCGAGCTGAGGAGCCAGAGTTTGGAGTTTCGGCTGCAGGACCATTGAGGACTCCTGTGTTGGGAGGCCAGCAGGGCCAGAGCTGTGTGGGCAGCAGCAGGATTTGTCTGAGGGGCCCGAGTGTCCTTGGTGAAGGGCTGGAGTGCCCATACACAGGCACAGCTGTGGGGCCCAGCAGAAATGTTTAGGACAGAGTTACAGTGTCATAATAGAATTAAATAAGAAATTAGTATGCTATTCAGAAAAGCTCCTAATATCTGCAAATGAAGCAACACACATTTAAATCTCTCATCAAGAAAAAAATCATAAGGGAAATTGGCAAATATTTCTAGTAAAATAAAATGAAAATACAACATGTTGGGATTTGTGGATCCAGGCAAAGCAGTACTCTGAAGAGAATGTGTCACTAGGAGAGCAGAGAGGTCTAAATGTCTAAAATCAATTATTTGCTTCCATCTAAGGGGATGAGAATATAAGAGCAAATTAAATGCAAAACCAGTAAAGGGCAGTGAAAAATAATGAGAGGGCTTGAAACCAGTGAGACAGAAAACAAGCAAACAATAGGGAAAATCAACAAAGCCAAAAGTTAACTCTGAAAAGATTAATAAAATTAACACAAGTGATCAAGAACAAAAGAAAATTCACATGCTTGCTTCATTAGGAATAACAAAGACATTAAAAAGGCAATAAAGGGAATATTATGAACAATTTTAAGCCAATTAACTAGACAAAATAAAATGGAAAGTCACTTAAAAAAAATCTCTTGCCAAAACTGACACCAGAAGAAAATGAAAAGATGAATGAATACCTACAACAATTAAAGGAATGAGGTTCACAAAATTACACAAAAAACCTTATCACAGAGAAGATTTCAGGTCCAGTTGGTTTCACTGTCAAACACATAAGGAAGAGAGATTGTGGATCATACACGGATACAGAAAACAGAGACTGAAGAATAATGTCTTGTTTTGTGAGACTGATCAATGGTTTGTTGGCAAGTATCTAACAATTAGCTTTCTGGGAAAATATGATTCATAGTGTTTTCCAGTTTCTGCGATGCAGACATTGCATTGCGGTTCCTTTCAGGTCAGCAGCACGGTGTCAGCGTGGAGTGGTCAGAGGGAGGTGGTTCCTGAGGATCCCAAGGCAGCGTAGTCCTTAAAAAATATTACAAGTAAACAAAATGACAAACTGAATGTTTCTCTTTTTTTTGTACCAGGGATCAAACTCAGGACATTATGCTTGCGAGGCAGACGGCAGCACCACTGAGCTAAATCTCCGGCCTGGACTGAATGTTTCTTATCAACAGAGACAGATATTTTTATTGTTTTTAGGATTTTAAATTAGTGTACTGTATATTGAATATATGGAGCAATATATGGAACCATTGTGGCATTTTTATACATGTATGTGAGAAATTCTTCCCAGCTTGGACAGCTTACTTAGTGAGACCTTCTCTCAAACTAAAAAATAAAAGGACAGGCGATTTAGCTCAGTGATTATGGTGCCTGCCTCAAAAGCGTAAGGTCCCGAGTTCGATCTCTGGTACCAAAAAAATAAATTAAAAAATAAAAAAGGGCTGGGGATGTAGCTCAGTGTAAAGACCCTGGGTTCAATCCCCAGTACAAAAACAAAAATTTAATAAAATTTTAGTAAGTCAAATCCAGCAATATGATAAAAGGGTACTGCCCTATGACAAAGGAGTGTTTATCCCTGGAATGCAAGGTTGGATTAATATTTAAAAAACAATTAATTTATTTTGCCATATTTACAAAACAGAGGAAAACCTGTATAATCATCTAAAAATGATGGAGACAAAAAAAAATCACCAAATTCAACATCAATTTGTGGTAAAATCTCTCCTCAAATTAGAAGCTGAAGGGGTCTTTCTCAATATGATAAAAGGTGAGTCCTGAAAACTTACAGCTTTCTCCTTAAGATTCTGAACAAGACAATGACATTTCCCTGATCTTGATTTAGGTAAGGTTCTCATAGGAAAGACACAAAAAGCATTAACCATTAAAAATAATCCCCAACATGTGGACTTCACTACAATTTAATTTTTAATTTTTATTTCTTTTTTGGTCCTGGGGATCAAACTCCAGACCTCGCGCTTTCCAGGCAGGTGTTGGCACCACTGAGCTGCATCCCTGGCCCTTCGCTACAATTTTAAAAGCATGTCAGAACTACTTCCAGGAAGATGAAAGGACAGGTCACATGCTGGGAGAAGTCTCTAGATCTGATGAAGGACTTGTATCCAGAGCACACAAATCACTCTGATAGGTCGGAACAGATGGAAAATGGACAGGCATTTGTGGCGAAGACATAGCAGTACTCAGTAAGTACATGAGACACTACTTGGGACCACTATCACCAGGGAAATGCACATCAGAACAATAGGATGCTGTTACGCACCTGTCACAACATCTAGTGTGGAAAGGTCTGGCTGTACCATGCATGGGCAAGCAGAGCTCTAACTCAGCT